AGATGTCAATTTACTCGATGTAATAGAGCTAATTCTTTATGTATAAAACACAAAAACTTTGGATTTGTCAGTATTACAAGATTTCTTTTTACATTTGACTTGGTCCAATTTACACGTAACATTCAACATTTGCAACATTGGAGATGTAAAAGCAATAACAACATAGCACTTTTGACCGAAATCCCCCGTCATAGTGTAACAGTCATTGGTTTAAAAGCAACAAGGTCAATAATATGTTCAATGCAATTTTGTTTGTTTAAACAGTTACTAGCAGACATAATCAGATACACGAAGAAAAGAAATATCATATCAAGCTAAACTAATGTCATTTACTAACTGATTTAGATAAAGAGCTGACCGTTATTGCTATAAATAGTACAGAAACAGATAAAGAATAAATGTGAAAATATTGAAAATTTCAGTCAAATTACCCTTTTCTGAGCGAAGTTATGGGTGTTTGATGTCTTGACAAGAAATAGCCGATTGTTAAGTACCATTGTCATGATGGTTATAAACGATGTCTCGATTGTCAGTCCTTTTTATTGAGTGGCGTCTATTTTAACGTCTATTATATGTCGCAGGTGGTCTAATCCATTCAATATTTCAGTCATCTGATTGTCTAGAGAGTTGAGCCTGTCTTGTGAATAAATGTCTAATTAATAGAAAGAAGGCCAGGAATAGGAAGATTTAGCTATTCCAAAATACATCTTTTACGTAGTTGAACCCCTAACTCAAAAGTGAGTGCATGAGGACCGCACCACACAGAGACAATTCCCATAAGACGAACCCGTGGACAAGACACAAAAACCACACATTGCAAACAATAAACAACTAACGTACATATAAAATCAAGTGAATGCTATCCAAAATCTTTGACATTAAAAAAATAGAACTACAATAATATTGGTTAATGGCCATCAATATTGATGTTTTTTTTTAAAAAAATAAAAATCACTTCCCGAATAGAAGTCAGAACATCCTGCTGAAAAGTGTGGAACATTTATTTATTTATCAGCTATTTAGGGTTTTATGATTTTTTCGGATTTGTGGGTTAATTCATAATATTAATAGATGAATTCCGATCTGTGCTACGTGTATCTATCTTTAGTAACATTTCTATATTTTGTAATAGTTTGTAATAGAATATATCCAAGTTTCACGTGTCGTACCAAAATGGGAAAAGTCAGTGATTTCTTTTTTAAACTATATTATGAAATCGAATTTTAGAAATCTAAGAATAGGTTTAATTTGGGTATTAAATTTAGTTCCTTGTAAAGTGCGCCTACGTTTTCATATGGAAGAATCTAATTTGACGCAAAGCTTTTGTTTTTTATCTGAAATCTTATTTTAAAAAAAAGTACCCATTTCTTTTAGACCGATTGTTCGTGCAGATGTTCTTAAAGACTCTTGTTATTCAAGTTCATGTGTAATCCATCTCATATATAATGCATATAAATGTACATAATAACTACCGTTATTAAAACTTAATACATTTTCAAATACAATAAATCACGCGTATTGAAAGATCGGATATGAAATGGAATGAGCGGTTTAACATCCCATGTGTCTGTACTTTGATAGACAGGCACACGCCATGCAGGTCGGTGTGTGTGTGTGAGTGGGTGTGTGGGTGTGTGTGTGTGCTAATGGTTAACGTTGAATCACATGGTCTGTCTTTTACGTGAATTCCAATATATACACGGGACCTCGGTTTTTCGTCTCATCCGAAGGACTAGACAGCTGCCCTTGTCAGGCCCTCCGTTCTGCACCACTGACAAGGGGACACCACGTCGGAAAATCTGGATGTACTTTCTCCGCCAATGCAGGGATCGAACACCCGACCTCCAGACTAGCGAGCCAGCGTCTTAACCACCTAGCCACTGTGGCTCCCTATTCGAATCCAACTGTCATCGGTTCTTTTACATGCATTCCAACGTGTACACGGGACTCCTGTGTCTCGTACCATCCAAGCGACTAGACATTGTTCCTTGCTAGACTCTCCGTCATGCACCATCGTTAATGGGAAACCACATTGGAAAGTCCCGGCTAACTTTTTCGGCCAACACCTGAATCTAAACCCGGATCGCTCCCATACACTGATCTGCGCTGTAGATTTAATATAAGGTGCGCCATTGTTCCGAATATTCTAGTTTCCTGCAACTTCTAAAGACTAACACATGTGCTTTAGATTATAAGGTCTGTCGTTGAGTCAAGTGGCGTGGCTTCCGGTTTCCACCAATGAGCGTAAGAAACTCATTAAAATAGATATATGCACCATATTTTAGTCAAGAAAGGACCTAGTCTTTAGTTGATAACATTTCGCTCACTGGTGTTTCTGAAATGCGAATGGTATAGATTCTGTGGCGTTATTCAAAGCACAACAAGTATAAACATGACACAACACAACATGTATAAACATAACTCAACACAACCTGTTTAAACATAACACAACACAACATGTATAAACATAATTAAACTGTTGATACTCTAGATAATTATGTTATTTGTATATCGATGGCTTGGAACACACCTGTACTATGTCCATTTTTAAGGTTTGAGAAAAAAACGTATTTTAAGATTTCAATAAGCTATAAAAAAGTAAGTTATCAGTGGATGTATATGGTTTCAGGAAAGGTTATTGCTTGAATCAATTCAAATAGGCTGATAGAGACGCACTTCAACTTAAGCACAGCATACAGCTGATTTTGGGATAAATGTGATCCACAATGACTTATGTCCGTACTTTTTTGTCAGAATAATTGCACAAAAGACTTATGTCCGGACATGGACTATGTGTGTTCTAAAGAAATATGTGGGTAGTGCACAACAAATGACTTATGTCCGTACTTTTTTGTTCAAATTGATGTACAAATGACTTATGTCCGCACTTTTTTGCCAGAATAAATGCACAAAAGACTTATGTCCGGACATGGACTATGTGTGCTCTAAAGAAATATGTGGGTAGTACATAACACTTATGGTTATTGTGCCTTTTCGACAGCTTTAAATTGTCAGGGGACTTGTATCTTTTTACACAACAAGCGCCCTGGAATAAGGATTTTTAATAATATCTAAAAATCTTATTTTCACCAAAAATGGACATAGTACAGTTGTGCTCTAAGCCATCGATATGTTTCTGAATGGTCTAACGCATGCAGTAACTAATACACAGCTTTTGAAGTTTACATTTCTAAAATGATACCATTAGCCAGAGCTTGTAGATTTTATGATGACTTCTTGGCTAGAAGTACACTGTTAATATGTAAACTACAAAACCATTTCTATTTAAAACTTTAGGTTCAATCTACGTGTACTTTCAAAAATTGTTATTTTCGTCAGCTAAATATTGTTGACTAATATTAATGTTTGTAAGACCTATGGATAGGCATAAGTGCGGAAAGTTTGGGGTAGTTGTTGAGCCAAACTTCCTCAATTTAACCAGGGCATTCATGAGCCAGTATTTTTGTTGTTGCTGCTGATTGACAGGCGAACCTAAAGTGTACTAGCCAATGAAAGCCTTCAATATAAACGAAATAGGTTATACGAATAAAGTATACGTCGTAAATACTGTATTTATGAATTACGATTACCGCATTGACGATCTGACCCTAGGTCATTGAAGCTACCCGATATATTGTGGTTACGAAGAACCTCTTCCGGTATAAAGTACTGTAGTTAATTTCACACAACATTTACATGATTCCATGTATTACAGTAGATCTAATAAACATGATTCCATGTATTACAGTAGACCTAAAACACGATTCCATGTATTACAGTAGACCTAATACATATGATTATATGTACATGTATTAGTGTAGACCTAATAAAGACGATTCCATGTACTACAGTAGACCTAATACATATTATTCTATGTATTATAGTAGACCTATACACATGATTCTATCATTACAGTACACCCAATAAATTGCAACCCCTCAATAGAGGAGGTGCGTGTGCAGAGAAGTCAGTGAATTCAGGTACAGTTTGCGATGAACAGCGGTACAGCCAACTGCCCGAATAGGCGCCTATTGGCATCGACCATGACATGACGGTGTAATATAGTATATTTTACAAAGTCATAGAACTTTGTAGCTATCTAAACTTTCCCTTTTTAGTTTTTCTGAAGAAACCAAGCATATCCTGTTCCAGCTCATTAAACGAAAATGTGACTATACTGTTATAGGAAAGGGTCCCATGTACAGGTTGGTGGTGTTCGTAAAAGATTCTCAGGAAGTCGGAATTCAATGAAAAGTTGGCCGAAACACCACTGTCCGGGTACTCCCCCCCCCCACGCCCCGCCCATTCCATTCCTATTATGACCATAATTCATGATTATTTGCCTGAGATTAAATAACAACCGGTGCACTGGTTGTAGGATAGTTATCTAACAACTATATACTATGTTATACATGTTTTACAAATATTGATGACAGGCATTATTCCCACGATAGGCCTATTTCTTTGCCTAGTAACCGTAAACTCGGTCACTAGATTATTAACCATAATGTTATATTGGCGCATATAAAGTCAAATAACATGTAATGTGGACAGAGACAAGCATTGTGTGACAAGCATTGTGTGACTTTTCTGTAACCTAGTTCAGGAATCGGTCAAAATGTTTGAACTAATCTGGGTCTAAAAGCAGATTGTCTCCGGGCAACAGATGTCGTTGAACTCTTATAATTTCCATTGCATGTCAGTAATAATATGTATGTCATCAAAAATATCATTTGGAAGTCATTATAGATTCAACAATTCTGTTGCCACGAACCTATATAACAATATCAGACGATACCATAACACGGCTAGGTTATATAAGTGCACAGACCGATATGTCGTCGTCTGCTGCAGCAGTTCTCAGCACACCGCCATATTATTGATTTTCGAACGTCAACATCTCAACTGCTACAAAGACCTGTACGTCGCGTTGAATGCCATTATTTACATCATTGTTTTCTAGCTGTGTACACGTCTTTGCACAGTACTTGATACATTTGATACAAAACAAACACGAAAATTGTTTCAAGATTTCAAACTAGTTTTATTTGGACCTTTTTTTTAACAAAGAAAACATTTTGGTTGACAGTAGGATCCTATCGATTTGCTATTGGTCAGTTACAGGCGAGTCCCTTAGTGAATATAATTATCTTAGCTTGACCCGGAGTGACTATTTTGATCGAAGCTAGAGCAGCTTTTGTAGACAGATGTACATTCTTTTGTAGATTAAGTACTATTTTTTCTAAAAAGCTAGTATGATGTGTTTATGAAGTATTTTGTTCACCTGTGTTGAAGAATAGCATGCGGATTTAATTTCTTGTTTTTAAGGAAGAAAAACATCATTTGCATTTAACAAGGTAATATTAATAATTTTTCACATTTTTACAGTCATGTATGTATATTGGAGAGGTCCATAAATTTTATTCGGTGCCCCGAGATTTTTTTTCCCCGAATGTTAAGTCATTTCGACCAGACTGTGTTAACAGGTTGCTCGTTTCATTGACAAATGCATGATCATCCTTAACCTCTCTACCTCTGTGCATAGAAATTTTTTTATCATGTAAGTTTATATGTTATGCCCGCAACGTCTGTAGTCGAAATATCCTAAGCCGAAACGTCATTTGCCGAAATGTCCTTTTCGAAAAGACCTGCTCTGAAACACAGTTAGCTATAACAAGTGAAGGGTGTCGATCGCTTATGCGACAGGGTACGTTTTCTCTCTACTTCCTTTGATATCACACCGAATTTTGTACTCGAGTAAAAATAATTACTAGCACGTGAGAAAAAACAATAACAAAGATCATGACAGTTTAAAAAGACGTTGGAAGATTATTTCATAAATGGACCCTTTGAAAATTGTTGCAATGAATGTTTTAAGACCTTTGGGATTATATATCGTTTGCTCTAAACATCATTTTTAGATTACATATCGTTTGCCCTATACATTATTTTGGATTACATATCATTTGCTCGACTAAACATTTTTTGGGGGATTACATATCGTTTGCATTAAACATTATTTTTGGGTGATATATCGTTTGCAATAAACATTATTTTTGGAATTACATATCGTTTGCAGAGGGTTTCTGGTCTATGTTGTTACAATGTTTTGATTGCATAGTAGTAGGACACTGTTTAGATTTTACTAGAATTACAATTTCGATTAAATTTGCCCAACATCGTTTTTTGATTAAATTGTATTCACATCGTTTTCTGAGTATATCGTGAAAATGCGACGATTTATTACTTCAATCAAGATATGTTTCAATGACATTTCTTTCTTGACATATAAATCATTATAAAAAGTCATAAGATCATTAGATTATAATTTTTTATATTATTAAACATACATTATGCAAGAAATAAATCTGCCTATTTCCCAGTCGGTGCAGAAAAGTAGGACGTTAAACCCCATTTCATTTCGCTTCATTTCTTCATTTTATCATTCGAAAATTTGATAAACTTTGATTTGATAAAGATGAGTTATTCTTAAGACAAAATCACTTAGTATATTATGCTAATTCATTTTTCACAAGAGACTAGTTCATACATTCGACCTCTGAAATTTGTCCATTTATCTATGTCCATTTACGTATAAGAATTCTTGTTATTTTCAGAATACCTTCTCATAACCTTTTATGGTACTATTATATTTGAATACAAAATTGACCCCATTCTTTGCAATTACCAATAAGAATATTGGTATAGAATTATCTTGATTCTTGACACTTATCATTTACTTTAATGATATAAAAAGTTTCCTTGACAACTGGATTCTTTCCTTGACACGACTTGTTAATACCTGATAACACGTTCTTGGTTCCATTGACGTATGACAGCCTTATTATCTAAGTTCATATTTCTCAATACATCATTGATATTTCTTAATGTTTTCTATAATAGGATTGCAGGAAAGAGTTCTGTATTGAAATGAACCTGCTGGCTCTAGGCCATCCTAGACGCGTATTACAATTCACCATTGTTGCTATATAATCTTATAAACTCATGACGCCAGTCTCCTTTGAATCAGGGGGTTAATATTCTGTATGCGAATTACCTTGGAATCTTGGAGTTCAGTTGAATGGCTAGGTGATTTTTCTAAGGCGTGACTTGGTGATTGAACTTTATAATGCATGACTCGGTGGTTAAACTTTGTAATGTATGGTCAGGTGACCAAACTTTATAATGTATGGTTAGGAGATTTTCTGGTGTATTGTAGGTGGTTCAACCCCATAATCTATGGTTAGGTGGCTAAACTTTATAATGTATCGTTAGCTGGTAAAAACTTTGTAATGTATGGTTATAGGTGGCTAAACTTTATAATGCATGGTTAGCTGGTTCAACTTTGTAATGTATGGTTAGGTGGTTAAACTTTATAATGTATGGTTAGCTGGTTCAACTTTATAATGTATGGTTAGCTGGTTAAACTTTATAATGCATGGTTGGGTGGTTAAACTGTATAAGATTTCTAGAAAAAATTTGACGTCACGTAAAACTATGCTTAGATATGGATTGGAAGAAAACGATGTGTATGGTTTCTGTTATGGTGACCTACATGTACATGGGCTACATGTCAGACTTCATTTATAACGTCTGTTAATGAAAAGAATGCAAAATTATTAGTGCACTGTATCTAAAAAAAAGCACGATATCGCCATTAATGAATAGAGGTGAGTTTTTTTCTACCCCTCCTACCTGTTCCCAACCTATGCCGGACTATACCTGTCATTCACGACGGGTCCGCCAGGGAAGTATTGAAGAAACATACCAAATTGAAGCGGACGTTTAGCTCGAAAAAAAGAATAATAATATTATTAATACATTTGGCAGTACTGAAAAAATCCTGGAGCTTTTGTGTATTTAGTATTGTGTGTTCATCAAGTTGTTTGAGTGAAATAATGGTGATTTCTGCGTGCCGAAATAATCTAACTAGGATGGCTCCCTCTCAACGGAATAACTTTAGTGTGCGTAGAATTTCTTTTTCCTGTTTTTTCTTAGGCGTAATTAGTACAGTTTTAATAGTTGTTATTAGTTCATTAAACAGGCATTATACAAGAGCTAACTCTGTCTATTGCAGGTATTTCTTTAGGCCTAAAGTGTTATATAAATTATTAATTAGACATTAATTAACTTACCCTCGATGCCATCGGGTGGCTGTGATTTAAATACGTTTTGGGATCGGTGCGGTTACCGTAAAAATGGATAATCGAGACTTTGTTTATTATCGTAACAACAGTATTAATGACAGTCGAGGTGAAGTAAATTGACTGAAACTTTCAGCATATTCTCTTTTTATTATCTATTTTAAAAAACCCCAACCTATTATAGCGAGAACTTTCAGCCCTTTATCTAATCTTACCTAAAGCCACTTTAAGTGTATAGCCTATAAAGCATTAAATAACGGTGTTATAGCGACGATGACGTCAATCCCGGGATGATTAACCCCATTTCTTCCTCAAGGATCTCAGAATTCTAATCAGCACTCTGAAAATGTATAACGATCCTCATGAATATCAAAAAATAAATTGAAAACGATTGGAATACTTTAGAAATTCTTGTTTCTTTTAGGAAATTACATTATATAACTTTTAAACTGTTTAAACCTTAACTTTAAAAATATGAAAATGAAGGACCAGTGGGAGATAAGTTGTAGTTATACTGGTTATTGTGAATATAAGGCTGTTTTATTTTGTATCAACTATTGATTGATATATCAGTACATAATAATAACGTAGGTGGTAACCATATATAAGTAGCAGATATATATAAGAAAATGGCATGTGTATATCGAATTTATATAAACGAAGAAAGTGTCGTTCACATATAGAAAATTAAATGTCTGTCCAAGTAATCCCTGTAAGATTCTAGGTCAGGAGTCGAGATGAGTTTTATTCGGGAAGAAATGGTGCTTTTTGAGGACTAAATTAGAACATCTAAAGTAGGGTCAACCTTTTGTAGCGCTGCGATAAATGAACACCAAACCCAAAAAGATTTTAACCATTTTATTGATTGTCTGGTTTTATTTTTGAAAACAGAATGTTTTGTTTTATTCTATGATGGCATGTAAAGTATCCCCACCCCAATCGTCTAAAAAAAACACAAATTTCGAAACACCTCACAAGACAATACTTTTTCAATTCGGTCCATCGAACAATGGTCTTACATTTTCGTAAATAATTCCTTAGGAGGAGATGAATTTATATTACATCCATCTTGTTTTCAGATCCTGTAATTATAATATATTGTATCTTTATAATATGTAAATATTTAATGAATAAGTAGTGATAAAATTGCCTTTGCTTTAAAATTGTGAAAAACCAAATCAAATTGATGTATAGCAATTTCATCTTTGAAACCTAGTAATCGTGTCATGTGAAACTGTCTAAAGTTAAATGTCTTAGGGTAAAATGAATATGGCAATAACACGAACATAACACGAACATAACACATCCATCAACCTCCATTTAATAGGGAAACAAAAAAAGTTCATATTTTTATAAACATAAGAAGACTTTAGTCTTCACATGATATCATGATCTAAATTTAATCTGTTTATCCTGATTGCACTGATTAATCGCTTTGGGTTAGATTACATGAAATTAGATAAATAGTCTTTTAATAAAGAATTACTTACGACATTAAGATAAGTAGGTTTGTCCAATTCATACATTAAACCCTTGATAATTGGATACGTAAATAACTGAAATTATAATAATGGTGGTTTAATGAAAAGCGAGTTTAACTTTTGAAAGAAGATTTCCATGGTTGACATTAACTGAATTACCTAATTTTAAAATTTAATCCATTTCCACAGTGTTAAGATATATAATATGATGTATTGACTACATTAGCCGACTTGTACTACGAGATTTGTTTGTAGATTCGGCTCGTTAAATTTACAAAAAGTAGTGACATAAATCGTGTACGAGGCATAGTGGCATAGTATTTCTGATACCAATCTCTATTTCAAATGTTAACATAGTTGGAACGTTTTGAGCATTTGTACTTTGTATCACAACATGGAACCTTCATTCGGTCGTTCGTTCATTCGTGGGATTTAAAGCTCGCTTCCATTGAGTGTGATATCGCAGTACATCATTGTAATATACATATTAGACTTTATAGGTTTTTCTTTTTCAATTTATAAAAACAAAAAAACCAACAAAAAAAAAACCCAACAAAAAACCCCAACAAACCCAAGGCCTACCAATCTTTGAGTATAATGTGTATAATATATTTCTTTTAATGACTTATAACCCGCTATTATTGCTCAAATGACTGTACTGAAACAATTCAATATAATACTTTTACTTAAACATACATTATGAAAGAGGTAAATCTGTCTATAGCAGGTCTT